TGGATATGGGAAAAAGTTGTCCAGCAATTTCACTGACACCAAGGACACAAGGTGCTTTTGGCAGGGATTTCGGACAGCTACAGGCTATAAGCCTACTGTATGGGTGACTGACAATGACCCCTCCCTACCAGATAACCTTAACATCTTTTTCTCTCTGTATTAGATTACAGACAACAAAGCAGCACAAAGGTGGACACTGCCCACCAACTAGGCATTCCAGCTGACGGCAGACAGCATGAAGAGGGTCTTTTCCAACATCAACCCTCGGAAGGCTGCTGGTCCAGATCATATCCCAGGTTGTGTGCTGAAGGAATGTGCAGAACAGTTGAAGGATGTCTTTACAGACATATTTAACATCTGCCTCAGCCAAGCCAGAGTGCCCACCTGTTTCAAAAGCGCCACTATAATACCTTTGCCCAAGACGCCAAATCCAGTCTCCATGAATGATAACCGACCTGTAGCTTTGACCCCTATAGCCATGAAATGTTTGGAGTGGCTTGTCATGAATCACATCAAGTCAGGCCTCCAAACTAGTTTGGACCCATTGCAGTTTGCATATAAATCAAACCAGTTTACAGAGGATGCCCTATACACTCTGCTCCACCTCACTCTGACACATCTGGAAAACAGGAACACTTATGCCAGAATCCTGTTAGTTGATTTCAGCTCGGAATTTAATACAGCTTATTGAAAAGTTGTTGCTGCTGGGTGTGGATCCTGGCATGAGCAGTTGGATTTTGGACTTTTTGACTGAGAGACGGCAGACAGTCAGAGTAGGCAGCGTAATAAGACGATCACAGTGAGCACAGGATCACCACAAAGGTGGGTACTGAGCCCTTTACGATTTACATTACACAACATAAAGTTTGCAGATGACACCACAGTTGTTGGCCTCATCACGAACAACGATGAGTTGGCCTATAGAGAAGAGGTGGCACAGTTGATAGAGTGGTATAAAATACACAACCTTGCCATCAACACCAATAAGACCAAGGAGACGGTTGTTGACTTCAGGAGGATTGGTCATCGGCACCATCTCCCACTGACCATCAGCGGCTCTGAGGTGGAGAGGGTACATCGTGCCAAATTCCTGGGGGTCCATCTGCACTGAAAAAAGTTTTTCAAGCAGTACTTCATCCAATGATAATTTGTCTTTCAATTAAATTTACCATTATTTGTTTTATTTTTCAAGTAATATTTTTTTAGTTCAAAACATTGATAAATATTAATATTTTTCATTAAGAGCTCAATTAAGACATATCTGTTTTGACGAATGTAAAATATCAAGGTTAGATTAACTCATATTTTTAAGTTTACATCATGACCACGCCTCCTCACACTGGTGTTGCGAGTCAGTTAACGGTGCCATTTTGTCACTGTGTGATTGTGTGTGAATTCAACGAGCTGTGGATGAGAAGGTGGAAACTTTGTTTTAGATAAGTTAGTTGTATGGATGTTATTTTCCGCCAATTACCTTTTATCGCTCTTACTTTCCCTTGAGAGACTGTTTGTGATTGGCGAAAATTGTTGTTTGTCTAAACGACGGGACATTTCTCATCCGTTATGATGGCGCTTGAACCCCGGACCAGCGAGATCGACTGAGATTATTTTCGTCTTTTCCTTTTTCTTTTTCACTCGATGTTGTTTATGAGGAGTGTAAGATAAAGGTGCAATAGGTAATTGTCTTCAGAAACATTTTTTGTTATGCTAGTTGAAAGTCTCGTCACATCCTGATAGCAATCATTAAGTTAAGTGGTCTAAATGTATTTGCCTGTATTTATATATTCTGTGGAAGGCGTAGGATCAAGAAATGTTCGTCCAATCAAAACGCTCGGTCCGAGCGTTTTAATATGCTTTCCTACCTGCCTGTCAACGTATGTACTAGCATACCTCTGTGCACCCAGTTCGCGCAGACAGGATACGTCTTCAGCGCGTTCACGCACGCTGTGCAGACAGAGCGAGAATGGCAGACAAACATCAACAACCCGATCTTCCTTCTTGGTATTGTAGTACTTTTAAAGATTTCTCACCGGTGAATGACACGTGATGTAGCCCAGCGGTTAATCCAGTCCTCGCGCCAGCTCATTAGAAGTGAGCTATGTGCATGAACTGTGTTCCCATCGATATGATCCCTACACAGTGTTCATTGCTCCCTACTCCCTGAGCAGGGGAAATCCGTTGAAGTTTACTTCACTTCAGAACATGGGCTGGAATTGGGAACCTGATGTAGCCTATTGTAGTAATGTTGTTTCTGGTCTGTGAGCGTAAATGCATTCAGGGGCATTAGCATTTTCCAAGATCTCCTACTGCACCTAGGCCTGTCACGATAACAACTTTTTGTTGTGCGATATATTGCTCCAAAAATTATTGCGATAAGCGATATTATTGTCATTTTAAAGACCATTTTATGCCACTGAATATATAATCATAATGTAACAGCATAATAATGCAAGAAGGCCTACACACTTCCAAATGACAACAAACTTTAAATTTTTAAGAGGCGCAGCCAGAGGAATGGAGTCCAGAGGCGATGGCGGGTCGATGCCCGACCAAGGTGGAGCCGGAGGGACGAGGGAGCCCGGTGTAGCTGATGGATCGATGGGTGACGGTGGAGGCGAAGCAGCTAGGAGCCGAGGTGGAGCCACTGGGTCTACGGGCCGAGGCGGAGTCCGGGCCTCGGAGGCTGGACCGGAGCAGGAGGAGGAGCCAGGTGGGACCCTGGCCACAGCAATAATAGTGGCCCACGGTGGAGCCGACGGAGGGAGGAGCCATGGAGGAGGAATGTCCACCGACTCCAGGGGGCCGACCAACGGCGGCGGAGCAGGTGGTGGAGACGGAGAGCCAACGAGCCAGGGGGATGCCGAGGATCCGGGGGGCCAGGGTGGTGCCGAGGGCTCTGGCGACCGAGGCGGAGGTGGAGATCCAGAGATCCGCGGCAGAGCCGGAGCGACTGAGGACCAAGGTGGAGCTGGCGGGAGGAAGGA